TCCGGCCATCCTTCCGCCTCAGCCTTCCGAGTAGCCGGAATTACAGGCACACACTACCATGCCCGGCTGATTTTTAAAATTTTATTGTAGAGATGCGGTCTCACCAAGTCGCCCAGGCGGGTCTCGAACCCGCGAGCTCAGGCAATCCACTCACTTCAGCCTCCCAAAACGCGGGATTACAGGCTGAGCCACCGAGCCCGGCTTGCTCCTACAATTTTTACATTAGGGTTTGGATAGGAAACAAGGAGTCATGGTTTGCCGTAAATTTGACTTTCCCAGCAACCTGTCTTCGAGGCCTGAGGTATCACCAAACTCCCAAGAGCCTTCCCTCCATCCCGCCCTCACCCCTAGGGCCAGAAGCGGCTGGACTTTGACTCCAGCACACACTCCCTGGGAAGATTTTTTCATCAGCTTGAAAACTCTGGCTCTCAGAATGCTGCCTTCCCAAAATAGGCTAATTATGGTGATTCAAATGACTTTGCAAGCCAGGATTTAGACAGCACACAATTAGAGTCTTGCTAAATGCTTGCAAAACGCAGTTCTTCCTAATTTCATTACTGTCTCTTTTGATTAGAGGCTAATTACTTTCGACCCTAATCTTTCAGCTTGTCTGGGTCTTAGTGCCTGGAGTAACAACCAGCTCCTGTGCGTTGGTGAGAATTGCACATGTCGTCACCATCCAGCCATGTAAGAGAATTTGCGGGACATATTTCTGTATCTGCAAGAGCAGAAGCACACACTCCTAGGACTGGAACTTCTGGGGTTGTTTCTTACCATTCGTTTACATTGTTTTCAGGGTCTCTGAGCAAATCTTTATGGGTCATTTGAGAAGCAAAGGAGAACCACCATCTTTTGCTCAGGGAAGACTATTTAGATGTGGAAATTGTGCAATGCATGAAATCTAGGGGACTCCTGCTTGCAGAGCTGTGGGCCCTGGTTTCTTTGAGCTCTGTCTTGAGAAAGATGTACCATTTTGTAGTTTTTCTTTTTTGTTGTTGTTGTTTTTTGAGTTGAAGTCTCACTCTGTCGCCCAGACTGGAGTGCAGTGGCATGCTCCTGGCCACCGCAGCCTTGACCTGCTGGGCTCCGGTGATCCTTTTGCCTCAGCCTTCCAAGTAGCTGGAACTACGGAAGCGTGCTACCACATCTGGTTACTTTTTATTTTATTGTAGAGGCGAGGTCTCGCCAAGTTGCCCAGGCTGGTCTCGAACCTGCGGGCTCAGGCAATCCACTCGCCTTGGCCTCCCAAAGTGCTGGGATTATAAGCTGAGCCACCAAGCCTGGCCCATTTTATAATTTGTATAATACCACAAGGCTCCAGGCAGCTCATTCACAAAATTATGTCCAGAACAGCCCTTGTTTCTTACTCCATTTGGTTAAGATTCAAATCCCTCACCTTTGGTTGGAGGTAGTATGCTATAAAAAAAAAAATCTAGACAGTAGCCCAGTGTAACTGGCTTCTATAATATTCTATAAAATTACTAATGTCATTATTGATACTATTCTTAATAAGATCCCTTTCTGTCCGATTGCTCCATTCTCCTCCAAACGTGGCTTCCACTTACTGGTCTAAATGTGGCTGTTGGAGCTCCTGCCATCGTGTCACATTCCCCTCAGGAGGAGGAGGAGCGGGAGAAGAATGCCATCCCTCTCTCCTCTCTCTCTCTCTCTCTTTTTGAGGTAGGAGTCTCACTCTGTTGCCCAGGCTGGAGTGCAGTGGCACGCCCATGGCCTCCACAGACCCTTCTGCCTCAGCCTTCCAAACAGCTGGAACTACAGGCACATGCCAACACGCCCGCTAATTTTTTAATTTATTGTAGAGATGAGGGCTTGTCAAGTTGCCCGGGCTGGTCTCAAACCCCTAGACTCAGGCAATCCTCTGGCCTCTGCCTCCTAAAGTGCTGGGATGACAGGCGTGAGTCACTGCGCCTGGCTTATCCCTCCTCTCTTTACAGATACTTTCCAAAAGTTGCATGTGCCACTTCCATGTGTACACTGTGGGCCAGAACTTAGGTCACAACTCAGGTCATGTACCTAACTGTGAAAAAGGCCAGGAAATGTTCTGGTGGCACGTGTTCTAAGGGTTTTATAGGCATTACCACATTTCCCCCTCGCCACTACACCAAGGGGTAGTTAATAAGACCCGAAGCAGCTAAGAACTAGCCTAAGTTTGCCCAGCAAGATGGCTGAGCAAGTGGTGACAGGTTTAGGATTTGTTTTATTTTTATTTATTTTAAAATTGTGGGGGTACAGTTCAGGGTTACAAACATTCATTGTGCAGGTATCCTTGTTGATGAGGTGTACTTGGCCTCTTCCCCAGAGTTTCTCACTACTGCCATCCCACCTCCCCGCCCTCCAAGCCCCCACAGTTTCCCGCCACTGTCAATTCTTTTCTTATCGTATTATGATAGTTGTTCAAGGCCCACTTATGAGTGAGAACATGTGATACTCAGATCTTTGTTTCTGTGACGGATCACTCAGTATTGCAGACTCTAAGTCCATCCAGGTTGCTGTGAAGTTCATGATTTTGTTCTTCTTTATGGTGGCCATTGTGCAAATGGACCACATTTTTTTTATCCAGTCCACTTTTGATGGGCAGCACGGTTGGTTTCAGTTCTTGCTATTGTGAACAAGGCTGCAATAAACATATGTGTGCAAGTATCTTTTTTACAGAGTGATTTGAGTTCTTCTGGGTATATTCCCAATAGGGGGATTGCGGGGTCATATGGAAGGTCGATTTTTAGAACTTTTAGGAATCACCACACTGTTTTCCACAGAGACTGTACGAGTTTACACTCCCACCAACAGTGTAGCAGTGTTCTCTTTTCAATACATCCCCTCCAGCATCTGTTATTTTTTGAGTTATTGATGATGGCCATTCTGACTGGAGGTAGGTGACATCTCAGTGTAGTTTTAATTTGCATTTCTTTGATGACTAGTGAGGCTGAACATTTTTTCATGTGTCTGTTGGCTGCTCTTATGTCTTCTTTTGAGAATTGTCTATTCATATCTTTTGCCCCCTTTTTTTTTTTTTTGAGTCGGAGTCTCACTCTGTCACCCAGACTGGAGTGCAGTGGCCGCTCCCGGCCACCACAGCCTCGACCTGCCGCACTCCGGCGATCCTTCCACCTCAGCCTTCCAAGTAGCTGGAACTACAGGCGCATGCTATCATGCCCGGCTAATTATTATTATTATTTTTTTGATTTATTGTAGAGATGAGGTCTTGCCAAGTTGCCCGGGTTGGTCTCAAACCTGCAGACTCAGGCAATCCACTCGCTTCAGCCTCCTAAAATGCTGGGATTACAGGCTGAGCCACTGAGCCCGGCCTGCCCATTTTCTAACGAGGCTGTTTTTTGCTTTCCACTTCCTTTTTTAACTTTTAATTTTTTTATCGTAAAGATGTGGGGCACAATTCAGGGTTAGGCCTACACATGTTCCCTGCGCAGGTGCCCTTGTTGATAACGTGTGCCCCCCCCTTCCCCAGGTGGATCCCACTACTGCCAATTCTACTTCCCCACCCCCTTCCTGGCAGTTTCCCATTAAGGATCAGGATTTGAGCCGAGGCCTCCTTGTTCCAAAGCTGGAGCTCCTAACCACAAGGCCATACCACCAGATGCTTCCTTTTTTTAACTTTTAGCAAGGGAAGACGGCCCTGGCTGTGGCCTCCAGAAGCAGCCACAGCCTTGTGGTGGACATGTTCATTAAAGCAGAGAGGTAGTATACCTAGAGAGAGGTAAGGAAGGCCACTCCAGCACAGCTAGCAGCTCCTTTGGCAACCTCCGTCTTCTTATGGGGCAGTGTGGGGTCAGTGTCATTCTTTTCTCTGTTCTGATGGGCAGAGCTCCGGTCAGAACAATAATAACTGTCTCTTCTATCCGGCACTGCCTCATTCGTGGAATGAACAGCTGCCTCTTCCTTGGCGACATCAGACGTCAGAACTGAGGGTGTACAGAGTTCACTTGGGCTGCGCTGCCTCATCCATGTCGCTCTAACAGGCCTAGCATGCAAGCCCCTGATGGATGATGCCTGGTTTTGTTCTCTGTCCACGGTCTGGCCATGGGTTATTCCCAGAAGTTTTAATGATCGGGGGCGGGGGGGGGGGACTGGGGTGGGGAAGCTTCTTTTCAAAGCTATGTTGTTTTCACTGGCTCTCTGTTGCTCAAGTATTCTGTGACAGTCATGAAAACCTTACTTGTCTGAGAACATAAAACTCCTGTCTTCAAGTCATTCTTTTTACGAGTCTTTCATCTTTATTTTCTCTGCCCTCTCCTTCAAAATTCAAGTCTACGCCTTCAGGCAAGAATGCCATTGCCAGACTCTACCCCCCACTTTCAGTCACAGTTGTTTCCATCCTAAGTCCCATGGCTACTGCCCTCCAATGTTTTAGCGTCAGAATTCAGGTCCTCATCACTCAGGTGTCTACCCTGAGGCACTGTGAATCTGGACTGCTGTCTGCTTGGCCAATCCTGGGAAACTGCCCTTAAAAGCAAAAGGCATTTATTCATCTTCTCCCTCACAATCTGTTTTAATTGGCTCAGTAGTCTTGATATATAAAAGAGATCTGACAATCAAGTTCACAAACTCATCCTAGAAAAAGTGCTATATACCTCACTGCTGAATATCATTACAGTCAATTTCGAAGTACTCTCCTTGGGAAGGCATGCACTGACACCAGCGCCTAGTCCACCCGTCAAAGCAATTTTGGAGCTCTTTTTCTGAAATGGCCATCAGAGCTGTCATCATATTACCCTTGATGTCCTGAATGTCATCAAAATGTCTTCCTTGCAATATTTCCTTTATCTTTGTGTAAAGAAAAAAGTCACTGGGGTCCAGATCAAGGGAGTACAGAGGGTGTTCCAATACAGTTATTTGTTTACTGGCTAATTCGTTATTTCTTTACTCACTCACAGACACTGCTGTGTGAGCTCATGCATTGTCATGATGCAAGAGCTCCTTTAAGACAATTTGGGCACACACCTTCCTCATGCCAGGATTTTCAGTTAAGATTTTCCTGTTTCTCTGTTGATGTTGTTTGGTCTGCTATGCTTCTCACAGTCAGCCTATGATTTAGATGCACAATTCAATGAAGTTTTGCCATGTTTTTGTCAGTTCTGATCACTACCGGCCATTCTGACCTCTCTTCATCAGTGACATTATTCCCATAAACTTGGAGTAGTTGATTTCACTCCCACTCTTGCCAAGTTTAACAAGAAAGTTAATGTTTGTTCATTGCTCTAATTCCAACACCGACATTCTCTCGACAATAGCTCTGATGGCCGTTCCAGAAAAAGAGTTCCAAAATTGCTCTGACAGGTGGACTAGGAGCTGGCATCAGTGCATAGCTTCCTAAGGGGAGTACTTTGTTTTTTTGAGTTGGAGCCTCACTCTGTCGCCCAGACCGAAGTGCAGTGGCCTCCCGGCCACCGCAGCCTCGTTCTGCTGGGCTCCGGCGATCCTTCCGCCTCAGCCTTCTGAGTAGCTGGAACTACAGATGCGCGCTACCACGCCCGGCTACTTTTTTGATTTATTGTAGAGATGAGGTCTCACCAAGTTGCCCAGGCAGGTCTCGAACCCGCGGGCTCAGGCAATCCAAGGGGGAGTACTTTGAAGGTGACTGTAGTGATATTCAGCAATGAGGCATGTAGCACTTTTTCTAGGTAGAGTTTGCAAATTTAACAGTCAGACCTTGTATGAATCCTTTTAAAGGTCACATCATCCTCTGTGCAACTTTTTTTGTCTGTAAAAAAAAACCCTGCTTTGCATGTACAACAAAAAAATTTTTTTTTTGAGTCAGGGTCTCCCCATCACCCAGGCTGAAGTGCAGTGGCATGATCAGGATTCATCGCAGCTCCTAACTCCTGCTCAAGAGATCCTCCTGCCTCAGCTTCTTAAGTAGCTGGGACTACAGGCATGTGCCATCGTGCCTGGCGAATTTTTAAAATTTTTTGTAGAGATGAGGTCTCACTATGCTGGGCTCCAGCAGTCCTCCTACCCTGGCCTCCCAAAGTGCTGGGATTGTGGGCATGATCTACTGCACCCAGCCATTGTTTATACCAGTCAGTCTTCTCTGTTTCTTCTTTTCCTTCCCACTTATATCTGTTGTTCCTTCTTCTTCTCCCTCTTCCTCTTCCTCTATTCCCCCCCCCCACGTGCTTATTTTCTTAACTCCTTGCTGTATCTTATTGAATAACTTTCCCAAGGTCCACCTTTTTTCTTTCTCTTTAACTTGTTTTCACATTTTCTTTGAAAATAGAAATATTCACTTGTTCTATTTTTAATGTCTGGTAGCATTTAAAAAATTCTTTTGGTTAGATGAGAATAAATTACTTTTCCACCAAATGAATAAGCTCTCTTTCCTAACAAATCTTTATGTAATAATTAGATGAACATTGAAAACCATATATAATGCATGCATATAGCTGAAGGTGACCCCTGGAAATGATAAGAGTTGTTAACCCTGGTGACAAGTGGATCCTGAGGTTTGGAGTGGGAGGAAGACTTGTTTTTTAAGATAAGTAGTACTTTTTTTTTTTTAACCAAATGCATATATTATTCATTTAAAATTCTCTTTACTCATTAAACAAGTTTATATCCTAGCCTAATACAAAATGGTTCCTAGTAAAAATATTAAAGAGGTGATACAAATTTCCTCTCTTATATCCACTTATGCATTAAACTAACTACCCAATCATCCACCAGTAAATTCAGTGATTCACAGCAAATGGAAGCTTCCTAAAATCTGGCTTATGTTATTTCAACTTCCAGCGTGCTACTCCTGGTTCATTCTACTCCTGAAATAGTTCAGTGCTTTGGCAGATAAGCTAGTTGATGCTTTCACAAACTGTTGAAAAAGTCCTGGGTTTTCCAGAAGCCCTGCCCTTTCCTGTGGAAGCCTGAAGGATCATCTGGCCTGAGCCCGGAAAGGCACAAAGCATGCCATTTTCTTAGAGGACTGAAAGTGCCATAGCACGAAGACAAATGCCGGAGCATTTTGTGTTCTTCCCTTTACCTTGTGAGGCTGAGGGTCTTGATCTTATGGAATTCATCGCTGTTCCGGGAGATAGAATGGAGAGAAAATGACAAAGTGCCTCGCTCCCAAGTTTGCTGGGTTTTCCCGCCTTCAACCTACCTCTCCGGGAGACCCTCAGAGCCAGACACTGTGAAAGTACCCCTGAGGCTGCTGGAGGGGGCCTTGCCTTTTACGGTGTCTGAAACAATGATGGGTCCCCCCCCATTCCAAAGGCCTTGCCTTTGTCGGAGGGCTCCTGGAGGAGGTTGCTGGTGCGGGGTCGGGCGCAGGCTGAGCCTCAGCGAGGCTTGGGAAACCAGGGCCCTGCCCTCTGGGGTCCATCTCCTGCCCAAGCATCGACTCCCATCCTGTTGTTAAGCACATTTTCGTGGATTCACGTTTATTTAAGTGAAAGACAAAAGTGGGAGCCGCTAAACATGAGAAAGGAGAGGCAGATGGATGGGAAGCCTGAGCCTCCCCGTGGGCCGTGTGTCCAGCGTGTCCTCAGCTTCCTGCAGCCTTCTGCAGGACTGTCGGGAGCCCTCATGGCGTGAGCATGACGTGCAGTCCTAGGAAGCTTTCACCTGGACATTTTCTCCAGTTTTTTTGGTTTGCTTCTGCAGGACTCTGGTGGATTCTGCAAAAGGGACAAAAGGAACCTTCCAACGGACAGAAAACAAGACACCCTCTAGGCAACGTGCTAGGGCTGAGCCCTACGGTGGCTTCCACGCCCGTTCTGCCTCCTTGGCCACCCTGTCCGGCCTCCACCCTGAGCATGGCTTCCAGTTTGCTCACCGCACACTCTCCAGAGAGCAGGACGGATGAATCCAGAGACCACCTGGGGGTCCTTATTAAGGATACGCTCGATCTGGGCCCCGCTGAATCTTCAATATGATAAAATCAAACGCCCAAAAGAAGAAAGGGGGATGTGGATCCAAAGGAAAGCTACGAAAGATGGGCTTGTTGTTGTGACATTTTCTTCCCCAAGACAGCTCCTCCGTTCTCTTTTAGGGTGGGCACATGTCAGTCAGCCGCATGTAACACAGCACCGCAGTATCCCTCACACGTCCTGTGTCAGACAGATGATACTCCAGCTCTTCACCTCGGGCATTTGTCTCCATCTTGGATGACAAAAAATGATCCGGGGACTGATGCCGTTGAACATGTAGTCTCAGTTACCACCTTACCAATTATATCTGATATGCACATGCACCCTGAAACAAGACATGCGGGGGACATGTCTGAAGTCATCTGGCGCAATTACTTTGCACTTAGGAGCATCAGGAGAGCATCCGGGACCCGTCCACAGACTCTGCTCTGACATTCAGGCAGGACCACAGCCTGGAGACCAGGCACATTCGCCCGCTGCTCTGGGACTTGGCTTGCCGTCAGTTGAAGGCCAACGAGTGGCAGAGGCCGGCCCGTTTATGGAACTTTACAGAGGACCAGATCAGAGCCATCGAGGAGCAGTGGTCAGGTGAGGACAGGCTCGGTGACGTGAGCTGGAGGCATTCAGACCTTCCAGGTAAGTGCCTGAGGTCCACAATAAGCCAGCCGCGGACTCCAGGGGCCCCAGGAGCAGGGACAGCTAGCCTAGGCCCACATCGGCAACTGGGCACTTTGCAGAAAGCTAACACTTATGAGAATCTGCAACAAATTGAACTTTACAAAGGGTGGTTGCTTTGACTGAGCCATGTCCAAAAGGTGGCATGTGGCCTAAAAAGAAACAAAGGTTTCCAACTGAGTGAGCAGAAAGAAAGCAAGGATTTAAAAGCTGGTATGTCCCTGGGAAGCCAGTCTGATTTCTGGTGTTCCTCGAGAAGGTCGTAGGGTGAATGAGTTTATCCTGTAGTCAAAAGGCTCCCCTCCAGGAAGGTTGAGCCTTCCAGTCCAGGAAGAGGGCGGGTGGAGGGAAGGGGTCTTGTAGGACATGGCCTTGGGGAGTACTTGGCCTTCCCATGAGAGACATGTGGGATAGACCCGGAGGCCTTTGTGGACCAGATGATTCCAAGCAGTGGGATGATTTCAGCCAGATCAAGCCGGCAGAATGAGTGAAGCCAGGTCAGCTGGATTTCTTAGTTTGGCTTTTTAGTAGTTTGACCAAAACCTAGGAAATACTGAAAGTTTGCTTGCCACTACTCAACTGATGAGTTTTAAAAGCAAAGCAGCGAATGTTTTCTTGGCAGTTTTCTATTCAGAGCTCTTCTCTCATGAGCTGGAAAGGTGTTCCCTCTGCTTGGGGACCGATTTGCATCAGTGACGGCTGGAACTGCAGGAGGCAGAACCACAGCCCTGAGCACAGGCTGCCTGTGCCACATGAAAGCAAAGGATGGGGCTTGGTGACAACAACATTCACAATTCAATTACATTGTCATCCAGGGCAAGGCTACTGGCACCAGAGAGTGTGTGGGCTTTGAGCAAAGGAGCAGCACGTGGATGCTGGCTTTAAGAAAAACTAGTTTTTCAGGAGCAAGATTAAGAAAGGAGCAGAGGCTCACCCAGGGCCACGTTCCTCGTGCCTGCAGCCCCTGTGCCCTGGGATGCCTGCTGTCCCGTGTCTGTCTGGTGGCAGCTTCTCCTGGGCTCAGGCCCTTGCCCTCCACATGTCTGCTCCCACACACCCGCCATAGCGTGTGCGTGACAGTGTCTTCCTAGCTCTCCGGCGGCACGTGCTGCTGCTCAGGGTGTGGCTTAGGGACCAGCAGCAGCAGCACCGGGGGCTGGCTGGACAGACTCGCTGGGAGTCTGCATTTGCACCTGACGTCCGGTGAGGTGGACACGGCTCCCCAAGGGTGTCGTCAGCGCTGGTGGCACCTCGGCTGTCCAGTCCCTTGCACACCCCTCCTTGTGTGCGCCCCGCACAGCAGGCACATGGCTAGGGTGGGTGAGGGAGATGCTGGGTGTCATCCTGCAGTGCAGCGAGGGCGGGCGGGGCTTCCTTGTCGGAAGAGGATGCATCTGCCCCTGCCGTGTCCAGTTGGCACTGAGGCTGCATCGAAACAAGCGTCGGCTTGTGTTTGACCCGGGACCTCTTGCTCGGCACGGGAGACGAAAGCCTCCAGGAGCACGGCCCTGGGCCCCGCCCATGTGGCTGCACGGGGCCCTGGCCACGCAGGCCCATCTGGCCAAGCCCCTGCACCAAGAGCCGGTCCGTGCAGGTTTCCCTACACTTGCTGGGGAGTGACACCTGTGACGGGCAGAAACACTGTCTCCCTTGAAATGGGGGGGAACGAGCCATAGGAACGCTGCCCTGGCAGCCGCAGTCCCAGCGGGGTGTGAGCTGAGGCTCGCAGGGAATGTGGAGCTGTCGAAAGTCCTAAGTGGTCAGCAGCTTCGCCTTGGGTGGGTGACCCACTCACTGCTGGTCATGTTTTAGTTTACTTTTTAGTTTTTTAAAGACAGTGGTCTTGCTCTGCCCCCCGGGCTGGAGTGCTGTGGCATGATCATAGCTCACTGCAGCCTTGAACTTCTGGGTTTGCGCGATCCTCTCTTCTTAGCCTCTGGAGTAACTGGGGCTACAGGTGCACACCACCACACCCAGCTAATTAACAAAAAATTTTTTGTAGAGGTGAGGTCTTGCTAAGTTGCCCAGGCTGGTGGTCTTGAACTCTTGGCCTCAGGCAATCCTCACACTTGGGCCTCCCAAAGCACTGGGATTACAGGCGTGAGCCACCACACCTGGCTAATACTGGTCATGTTTTAGCCTGGAGGTTGTGTCATCCCCTACTGGGCATTAGAAGCAGCATGGGAGTATTTTTGTCTGTGTGTGTGTGTGTGTGTGTGTGTGTGTGTGTGTGTGTGTGTG